CTTCTGTAAAACACCGAATAGCTGAGTAATTGCCTTCTAAATTTCCACTCGGGGGTTTTTGGGGTCGGGGATTTCAATTCTGACACTGATAAGTATGCCCGACGCCCCTGGTGCCCCCAGTGGGGGCAATGGGGGGGGGGCTTCGGTAAAACATCGAATAGCTGAGTAATTGTCTTCTAAATTTCCACTCGGGGTTTTTGGGGTCGGAAATTCCGATTCTGACACTAAAAAGTATGCACGACGCCCGTGGGGTGGGCTTTCTGGAAAACATCGAAAGGCAGATTTTTGCAATAAAACGGCTCCATCCGCTTACCAGCCATGATCTTGTAGGCTTATCTTTACATTGTAACACACGCAAAATTACAGAGATTAGATAAGAAGGGTAAGAAAAACTAACAGAAAATGAGTCGAAAAGAATCCATTTTATTCTGAGAACCAATTTTCTTTTTATTTGCAAGGCAATTAGTGAGACAACTACTATCATATGTTTATCTAACACTTTCACTATCAATCACANATATTTTTCAGGGTCAAAAAACCCGTGCACACAAATTTCTACAACTTTCAGTCAATTTTTACCATTTTTAGAAAATTTGGAAAAATTGATGAACTCCAAGATGCACTTTATGCACCCGCAATGCAGTTTCGATCCAGCCCCTAAGTGTAATATATAGACTTTTTTCCTGATATTTTTCCGAAGACAATGCCGAAAACCGCAACTCGATCGGTTCATCAGAAAAAAATTGCTGTATTCTGGGTGATTTTGGTCTAACTTGCCTGGACTATTTTAGTCAAGTGTCGATCGCTGGGATGGCGCATTATCCTTCTGCGCGATATTCTATCTCGGTCGAACGAATTCTGTGGACAATGCCCTTGGAATCGAAACAACAGATCAACATTGTCTTCACTTTTCACTTCTCCAAACGAGATTTTTTGGGTTTTGGCTCGTCTGGCGCCTCCCACTTGGCACTTGGTTTCTGAATTATATTGAAAACATCACGTTTCGTCAGTAGTCACAATGTTGTAAAGGAAGTTTTTGTCCTTTTTGGCCTCTTTGGCGATGTCCTTCGAATGTTGAATTTTGAGCAATTTCAGGTCGTCACACACTTTTCGGTAGCCCAAAATGTTAAGCCCATATGTGATAAATTGATGTTTTTGTGATGCTCAATTTCAATTCCAAGAATATCAATGAAGATTTTTATGAATTCACGGACAGCAGTGATCACGCATTTCGGGCTCATCATTTATGTCCTCTCGACTGTTTTTAACTCATGAACTTTGCCACGAGATAAACAATCCTCGCCATAAACTTGGTTCATCAACTGAAACTTTTCGGTGAAAGTTTTTCCAAGTTTAAAACAAATATTGATATTAGCTCTTTGTTCGATGCTCATTTTTATATCGATGCGATAACACAATCATTATGTCTGTTCAGACGCAATACTCCTCTTCTATTCGTCCAAATGTCATAAAATTTTGACAGTACATCAGTGAAGGATCTACGATTCCGGCGCATGCTCATATATGGCCACACAAGAAATATCTATTTTTGAAAAGTCCTGTTTATTTTGCAACGCACCTTGTATAATAGCGACCAAATGTTAAATTTCAAAATTTGACTACACTTTTTTTATTTGTGCAATTATTGACACTTACCCAATTTGCCTCCATCAAAAGACACTTTATGTAACACTGAAACAAAGTCGTACTTTTTATTAAAATGTAGTATTTGTAGTGGTTCAGATTCTGCAAATGTATATTTTTTTATTAATACTATCAAAATATCAAACCATCAAATTTAAATCACCACTCAGTCGATATAAACAATAAAAAAAAAACATCAAAACTAATTTAAAACCAAGTGTTTTCCCAAGTTCTGAATATTTCCCATTTGTCGATTTCTTTTTTAACGAGATTTGTGGTTAAGCAAAACTGTTTTAAAAAAATAACGCTTGAGTGATCCTTATCGCGCAAGGGTTTGTTTAATTAATTTTTTATTTATTTCGCTGGTAACAAAATACCCAAATAGATAGAGCAAAAGATTTGGTAATTACAAAAATACATTTTTGAATTAGAAAACGTCTTTTTTATATAATATGTGTACAGGGTGGGCCATTAGTGTGAGAAAGTAAAATAACTCCCTTGTTACTCATAATACAGAAAAAAAGTTTATATAAAAGTTATACAGAATCAAGAAACCTAAACTACAAAATTAATTTGATACATACAGGGTGATGAGTAAAAACGGGAGACGCCAAATATTACATTTTTTAAATGGAACACCCTGTATATTTTTAAACATATGGATTTCCGGGAAAATTCTACATATGGCAATATAAATAGTTTATTATTTTAGTGCAGGGTAGCCAAGTTATGTAGACCCTGAACAAGTTGTATTAACTTTCAACTATAAACACTTAGAGTAAAAATATTTGACATTTAGCTAATATCGATAATTTATACAGGGCTTTTTTTTATAATACGATCATTTTCAGAATGTTTAAACTTGATTTTCTAAAAATTTTCAAATGGAACACCCTGTTTTTTATTATTCTATTTTATTCACATATCGGTCCACTTCAACTTTTATTAAGCATCTAAAATTGTTAGTTTTTAAGATATAGCAACATTTCTGAAAAAACTTAATTTTTATTATTTTATAGAATACCACATAAATATTAAATAATAAAATTAACTCAAAATGGAATGATAAATTATGAACTGACAAGTTGACACAATGTGATAGTTTTTTCCAAAGCCATTTTGTGCGATCGAAGATAATAAAAATTTGGTTTTTCCAGATATGTTGCTATATCTTAAAAACTTACAACTGTAGGTCTAGAACATACTTAATTGAAGAAAAATTTTAGAAAATTAAATTTGAACTTTCTTAAAATGATCGTATTATAAAAAATGCTCTGTATAAAATATCGATATTAGCTAATATAGGAGTCTTTGCCTAACACTTGCCTATAATTCTGTCAAATATTTTTGCTCCAAGTGTTAGTAGGTGAAAGTTAATACAACTTCTTCGAGGTTATGTTTTTTCCAAAATTCGAAGAATTTTCTACATAACTTGCCACCCCTGCACTAATATGATAAACTGTTGCCATATATATAATTTTCTGGGAAATCCATATGTTTAAAAATATACAGGGTGTTCCATTTAAAAAATGTAGTATTTGGCGTGTCCCGTTTTCACTCATCGCCCTGTGTGTTTCAAATTATTTTTGTCCTTTGGGTTTTTTTATACAAACTTTTTTTCTGTATTATGAATAACAAGGGAGTTATTTTACTTTCTCACACTAATGTCCACCCTGTATGTGTACTTACTTGAAGTTTTTCATCGTGAGGATTATTTGCTATATCATAGGCTATATGGTCATCTAAAAATAAATAAAACATATATGAGCTATTTGTTATACGGGTGTATTTCTGAATGGAGGTCATATTTGTACGGAAATTAACTTTAACATTTAGAAACACGTATTAGAAGTCTATTTGGACTGGACATACTTTAAACAACAACGCTTATTCAAATCTCATTTTTCTCGATACTAACTGATAAAATAACTATGTTATAAAATATAATTACATGTATAAAATTCTTATTTACTTTACTAATACTACTATATATAAATTTACCTTCTCGAAAACCTATAAACCGAAGAATCTAATCAGAGATAATCTCGTTTCTTCAAATTAACGTCGACCGTTTGTTTTTTGCTCGCCTATCGCCTTGTTGTCATATCACATCAGGTGGATTGATATTATCTATACTCCGCGGTCGAAATTATAGAGAGTGACTCATCGCTAGCTTTTGGACTAGTAAGGGGGATGAAGCGTGCCGGGAACGAAAATCCATTGGCGTGTCTGCGTAAAAGGCAACAAGATATAGAAAATATTGAAAAAAGATAATAAAACATAACATCTAATATTTTTTACGGTTTGCTATAACCGGCACTTTGATCCATTTTAATTATTACAGCATTTTAAAACGTCCCAGTTGTGTTTTTTTAATTTATAAGTTTATTATAGCCATGGAATTAGACCCCTCGTCTACGCTTATGCTATGACGTTTCTCAGGACGGATAAATCAAGTCCGTTTACACCCACTAAAAAATAATTTCCCTATTCCCTACTAAGTGCAAAAGACAGAGATAGAATATAGATCAACGTTCAGTGTAACTCAGTATATAGACGATTATAGATTCTGTCGATGTGCGTAGCGAGCGGCACAAAGATAAATAATATTGAACCGTATAAAAATCATTTTATATTTTATACGCATTATGAATCACTCTCTATAATTTCGACCGCGGAGTATAGTGACCTAACCTAGGTCAATGTTAGAGGTCATTGAAATTCACAAACAAAACACAGTGCTTCAAAATTCAATAAAAATGAATTTTTATTAAAATCGAAGCGATTTCAAGAAATATATCAACTGTGAAATTAGTATTTTTATTTATATTTTATTATGTACATAGTTGCGTATGTCTTATCTACGTACCAATTTTAGTTATTATTTGTATTAAATCGTGTAAAAGCTACTAATTTGTTAAAAATACTAGACATTTTTCTTTAATATTCGGCGCTTCATCTACATTGACATAAAAAATAGTATGGTGATACAAAAGGTATTTGTTTTTACAAAATCATTTTCTATTGCAGTTTCAGTCTCTGCCACTCCGTTGGTTTCATACGGTTGGTTTAAAAAAGTAACAACAGGCAACACTAATGAGCGTGTACCGAGTTCTGGAGCAGCTTAAAAAAAATTATTATGACCCAAATATTTATTTAATTTTTAAAAATTAAATACGTAATGATTAGTATTTGATTAGTTTTTTGAGGAACACAGAGAAATGGCTAATATGAATCCTTAATGATAAACAAAGAAACTTAATAAGGAAGAAAGAGGCAAATTTAAAATGTCAAAATACATAATGTCTTGCTAGATACTATTTATATTTACTTTGACCATTGAACAATGGCTTGGTGTTACTATAGACATCACGGTACAAAAATATCTTCTGTATATAACGAGCGTTCAAATAAAAACGTCGTCGAAGTTGGCTCTGACACATTGGACGTAGGGAGTAGCTTATAGCGACCAACTTAACCTCATTTCTCAACGAGCTGTATAGCAGCTGTCAGTTTCAATAACGTTAATGACTATATAACTTTATTTTAAAGAATAATCGTGATAACAATAACAAACAATTAAAGGAGCTGCGGAAAGTGTCCCCCTCCTTGTTATAACAATAAATTAAAGCAGCTGCTGAAAGTGTCCCCCTCCTTGTTCCAAGCACTTTTCACACCTGTTCCTCAAAGAATTAAAGACATTTTCTAAGATGCTCGGGGTATTGTTAATTTCACGAATCTTGTCTATAAGTCGAGCCTGCAGATGGTTTAAATCAGGAATAGGCAGTTCAAAAATAGTGTTTTTAAGGTAAGGCCACAAAAAGAAATCACACGGCGTAATATCACATGACCTCGGTGGAAATTCATGTTCAGCATTGAGACTTATTAGTCGATTTTGGAAAACTTCCCTCAACATATTCATCGTCTCGCCTGCCGTATGTGCCCTTGCGCCATCTTGTTGAAAGTAAAAGTTTGTAATTTCGTTTTCTTCCAGCTGGTTAACAAAAGGAGCGATAATTTCTTCTCTATACCTTTGCGCAGTAAGAGTACCATTAAAAAAAATAGGTCCATAAATCCTCCTTCGATTGAGAGCACACCAAACTCCAATTTTTTGAGCGTGTAGAGGGCCCTCGACAAAAAAGTTATCTGGTTTTTCAGAAGACCACATTCTCATATTCTGTGAGTTTACGTAACCACTTAAATGAAACCAGGCTTCATCAGAAAAAAAGGTGATATTATGAAGTTCACCGTAGTTGTTTAAAAACCATTCACAAAATACAGCCCGTCGCGGAAAATCAACTTCATGAAGTTCTTGCTGACAAGTTAAACGATAGGAGAACAAACGCAAATCTTTTTTTAACACTGTGTGGCAGGTACCGACTGATACTCCCACCATTTGTGATAAAACACGTACAGAAGTTCTTGGCGCATTTTCCATTATTTGTTGGACATTTTCTTTTAATTCTTCAGTCCGCTTTTTAGGTCGGCCGCTTCCTTCTTTTCTTGTTACACTGCCCGTTTCACGAAAAACATTAACACAACGCTGAACTGCACTTTGAAAAATTTTGTACTCAACAACGCCGGGAAATTGATTTTGAAATTCTATGAAACATTCCTCAATAGAATACTTCCATATTCCATCAATCTTGCGTCCATTTCTAAAGTAGGACTCTATGATAAACACTTTTTGTTCTTGAGAAAACACCATTTTAAACGCTTTTTAAAACGAAAATATTCAAATTGATAGCGGCGATATAGCGCTTTGACAGATGACGTTTAAGTTCATTTGCTATACGCTACGCCCTACGTCCAAATTTTCAGAACCAACTTGACCACGTTTTTATTTGAACGCTCGTTACTATTGCGCCCGATTAAAACTATGTTAAAAAATATCAACGTCTTGCAAATTTTATAGTCTTACCTTCCGTTATTCCAGTTCTTTTGATACATAAATCATGTAATTCATCCGCGTATTCTTGCAGATCAGGTGGAAGTTGTAACTGAAAAATTAAATAAAGAAACGTTAAAAAATTTAATTCTGGATTTTGGAAATCGATAAAAATATTATCTTACCCATACTTACTTTACTATATGCCAAAGTTATTAAACAGAAAAAAAAGATAATGCTTCTAGACGACATTTTCACAACTACTTTGTCCCTCTACCAATAATCCTTTAAATAGGTTTTGAAGCAGGATATTTCAAGAAAACAATTTAATGTATAATAATTACACGTCACAGCACTATTAATTAAAAAAATGATGATCGACATTACCATGCACTTGACGATCTGTCTAAGAATAGATTGACAGCCTTTACATCGTTATTGTTACCTGGAGAAGGCGAAATATCTGTCATTAGATAAAATTACTGTACCTACATATTATGTGTAGGATGTTATTACTGAGGAAGGAAATGGATTATTTAAATTTACGCAAGGGGCAGATTACAGAATTCTTGTCAATGAATCTATAGAACAATTAGTCATTCAACAAAATTATACAGATTGATGCACAATTGGTGACCAAAAATGAAACGACGTATTCTTTGGTGAATTTTAAGGGGAGTCTTTTCTATAAAGTTAAAAAGATACAGGGGTTAAACTTCAAAAAATATTTTTAATTTTTTTAAATAATTTGAAAACTAGTAAGTGAAATAATTTGAAATTCTTTACCTATTTCTGATAGTTGTGTGTAAACATTTAAACGTACAAAAAGTTACAGAAGAATATTCACAAAGGGTTTTAGTAAAATAAACGGTTAACTGGGTTCTGAGTTAAAGAGAAAACAAGAAATAAAAAAATAAATTTTAACACCCTGTAACTTTTTTGCGACATTTTTTTATTTAAGCAAGTTTGGTTAAATCGACATTTGGGCTCTAGATTATACCCTTGAAGTATATTTAACATTCGTTAGGTGACACCCTGTATACGGTAAATTGCTTAAAATTTTCATTTCTTGTTTTATACTGTCTAGATAACATATTTTTTTTTATTTCTAGGTACTGTTTTACTATAATAATTGAAACAATTTCATTTTTTTGATTCCATCAGTTTAATTTTATATTTACAATATTTACAAAACTATCATATCTTTACAACATCTAGGACTAGATCAGATTATTATACAGAAATTATACAACGGATGTAAATGCCAAGTTAAATTTATTTTTATCATCACTTGATATGAATTTAACAGTATTTATATATGGTGTATTTTAAGATGGAATTTTCTTTTTAGCAGGACATAGAATCCAAAAAAGTGAGAACATTTTCAAACAACATTACGAAAATTCAGAAATAACGAAAATTCAAAATAACCTATTAATTTAGATATAAGTCTAGACTTACCCAAAGAATATGTTCGAAGCCATCATCATTATTTCCGTTCACACAAACTATGGCTTGACGTATCTACAGCTCATGGCATTTTTTGTACGTTCCCTCAGTTTTAAAACAGTTTTAAATTGACCATTTATTCATTAATTAAGTTTTTCATGAATTAATTCATCAATTCATTCATAAAAGATTTGATTTTACTGTCGAAAATGTCGTAATTTTTTTTTTTTTTAATTAGATAGCATGAAAAATTATAATCCTCTTTTCCAGTCCAAATATCTCTGCATAAAAATTAAAATATGGCTGTTCAAATAACTTTTACGTTATTTTTTTGATGAATAAAATGTTATTTGAAAATTTTTATTTTGTTGAGTTTTGTGTGGGGTTAAATGGAAAACCCTAAAATAAAGAATACTCGGATGTTAAATATATGACACAGGGTGTCTTCATTTTAAATGCTCTAAATGGGACAGGTAATAGAAATATTAATTTCAAACAAAAAAGTTTCATACAAAAAAGTTTTCATATATTTGTATGATTTTTTTTGCTTAAAATTAATTATTCTATTACGTGTTTCATTCAAGGCACTGATATTGGGGGACCCTGTACATATTTACAACTTTCAAACGAAATACAGTATGTTATGGTTGTTATTCATGTAAATAATAAAATAAATCAACTTCGACTGCGTATCCCTTAATTGACAATACATAGAACACATTTTACAACAATCAAACAACCAAAAAATATTTGTCGACTTCTTAAGGATGCGTCGCCTTAGCCAAATCTCCCAGCAACCTGTCAATGGCGACGTCGCCGACAGTTTGCCTAAATAACAGTTCTTCTAGCCCCCTTCTGGAAACAGATTGCACCCCGGGTAAGGTTAGCAGGAGCTTCCCGAACCTTCCTTTGTGCTGGTTCTGCCTTTGAGAGCAATATTCGTGCAGCATGACATGAGTTTGGTCTTGAAGGAGTTCTACGTGGGTTGGTTCACATAACCCTCTGCACTCTAAAAAGTACACAATAGTTTAGGTACATACAGAGTGAGCCAAAATTCTGAAAATAGCATGATTATTTTTTTTAATTTAATATTGTTCCAATATTCTAATAATTTCGAGTAATTATTTCGAAGAAAAGCATTCGAATACAAGCTTCTGAATTCCGTAAAGCTTTTTGTTTTTATTATCAAATAAATTTAATTTTTAACAACGGTTAAATGTGTTGTTGATGAAAATACTTAATTACTACGAAACAATTTAAGTTACGAAACATTTGCAAGGCAGATAAAATTTTAAAAGAGGTCTCATTATTTTGATCAAACAAGCACAGAGATTGTATAGTCGTCCGTGGTAAAATAATATGACGAAATAATACAGTACAATATGGAATATAATAGAAATACTGATAAATAATTCATATAGGTAACTAATTATAGAAACTAAAGTTCTTAGCCTTAGTACTATAAAAACAGTATTTTATTACGTTTTTTCTTAGATCAACATAAAATAGACATATACTAAAATACAAAAACGTGTATACTTTTTCATTTACCTGCTTTAAAAAGAACCAAAGCTTTTAGACAAGCATACTCTGTGTGATCTACCCTTAACAGATTTAATCTGCTAATAATTTCCCTTAATTTTCTAGCATCTTCTTCAAGGACAGAATGTCTGGAAGTTGGAGCCACTGCATTACTGATTAGTACAGCTGTACAAAAAATAAAAAATATTTAATAATTAATGATTTTTTTTTCATATAAAAAGTAAATAAAAAAATGTAAGATACAACTTAGGTAAATTCGTCATAACATAAATTTAGAAATAAGATTACCATCGTCGACGGGAAGTGCCCACTGTGCTGCAGTTAAGACGAACAATTCACTCCAACTTTCCTCCAGTAAAATAGATTGGTCTCTGTAAGACAACTGTAAAAAGAAACATATCATAAATTACCTAGAACAATTAATGCTTTCTAAATAAAAAGTTTCTAGTCGTATAATACAAGAAAAACAGTTACAAAGTTTTATAAATTGTTTATAAATTAACTATACAGGGTGTCCCAGAATAACGTCTATAACGGAAGACCACAGATTGGTGCACTCAAAATATAGGCAGATTTAAGCTAAATCACCTATATTCGAAATCGCTTCGTTTGGCCGCTAGATGGCCTCAAAGTTCGTGAAATTTTTTTGAATTTTGTAAATAACTCGAATACGTATTATTCGATTTTGATTATTTTTGGGGTGTGGACTTTTGCTTGATGTATGGTGAGAATATCCGTTCATAACTTTTTCCTCTTTCGGCCAATAATGACAACTATTTTTTATTTGATAGGTGATAGCATTTGGAAGTTTTTGGGCCTCTTGTAAAATTTTGATTAAGTGAGCAATTTGGATACAAAAAAATAATTTTTAAATCTATACATTATCTTTCCACCCATATTACAATACTTAACAAACTGCCAGTAGGCTCTGATTAGGTTAACTGTAATTTCAGTTTGATCTTTGAATCAATGTACCTGCCAATTCTGTTTTACTAGAAGCGGAATAATAAATATTTACAAGGAACATGTGAATGATCAAGAAACTCCACATCCGCAAAGTGAAACATCATGAATTTCGGATCAATGGTCTGGGATCATTGATAGCATTATTATTGGCAATGTTATTTTACCCAATAGACTGGGGAAATTTATATAGAATTTTTGCAAAATCCGAGTTAATACTCAGAGCTAACATGTGGTTTATGCATGCTGGCGCTCCACCACATTTAACTGTAAATGTCCGGCAGTATCTGAACTAAAGATTCCCTCGTCGATGTAGAAGGATAATGTTTCTGTTAACTGGCCTGTTCGTTCACCAGACTTAACACCTTGCGACTATTGGCGGCATGTTTGGTGCATGGTGCATAGACAGTAAAAAAAATCTAGAAGTCAGCAACCCATTCGAACAAACACGGTCACTGTGTTTGTAATATTGTCATTCTTGACATTAATAAAATAAATACAGTCCACATTTGTTTGATTTGTATAAAGAATCATAAGAAGAAACAAGTGATATTTGTTCACAACCAAGTCATATACGGCTTACAAGAGATTGGCCATTCATTGGAGCACTCTGAAAACAACAGTGCATGCTTCCACATCTAACACTGAAGGAGACTTTTGGAGGCATATCCAAAATACCATAAATGTTTTACAAAATAGCCCTTAGGAACTGTAAAGGGTGCCATTTAACTTACTTTGCCGAATTAACCTTTGTTGTAGAAACAATGGTAGTCATTTTGAACAGTTTTTATAATAAGTTGTACTAAATTTAATAACGCCAACTTTGTTACTTTTAAATTGAAGGTAATTTGTTTGGGAATGGGGTCAGTTTTTAAAGAAAACCAGTTTATTGGTTAGTCGACGTTTCGGCTATATTTAAGCCTTCTTCAGGACACTAAAATAATTACAATAAATAAACATACACATCATTATACATATTGGCTATTAGGATTAAAACAGATTAAAATTCAATAATATTACAATGATGAAGGATCAAGAACCAATCACAAGGAAACGTTTACGAAAATATAATAATAAATTTATCGGGTACTTACATCCAAAAAAGGTTTTCCGTGTAACAAATAATCTAAATAATGGGGAGTAAAATAGGTAGTATGTTGCTGTATCAAAATAGTACATTACTCGATGTTGATTAAAATATCTATGAATGAAACATATTAGAGGATTTAAGTGTGGAACAGAAAAAAGGGGGCCAAGACAAAAAACCATTCAAAGAAATTGAAATGTGTATAAAACCAGAGCTATATTGTTGTTAA